TTTTGTCCTCACGGCCCACTGGTGGTCCGCAGCCCACGGGTTAAGAACCACTGCCATACAAGTTAAGTCTCCCTATCAGGATATCTGAAATCTCTTAAAACTCAAAGTTGATATTTTGATATATTTTATCAACACATCTACCCAGAATATATTCCCAAGTTCGAGGGACCTCTTTCAAACAAAGGACATAATTCAATTTTTGAGATGTTCTCCATGGCCATGTTCGAAAAGGTGGAGAGAAAAGCAAAAACATGATTCCAAAAGTACCAGCAAGTAGATGTATTTCAACCTTTTTAAATGTGGGGAGATGTACAAAACCTGGAAACCACCTAAGGAAAGAGGCATGGCCTCCTGGGAACTCCAGATTTGAACCCTTTCCCTTTTAGGAGGTCCAGGTTCAGCCCCAGGGCTTCATGAGGAAGAGCTTTTACTTAATGCAAAATCTAGAATAGACGCTCTCTCATGTGGTCAAGGCCCAAAGTCTTATACAAGATCTTTCTCAAGCTCTCAAGACGCATGCTAGGACAGGACTCCACATCTCATGTAACATCTTATGCTTGTTGTTGCCCAATAGTTCATGGAACAATGCCATGACCAAGAACTCTTATCCTAATCTAAATATGGATTTCTCTTTGTGCAAGGTAACCAGAGGCAAAAAAGAGACAGATCACATACATCTTCAGTTCTGGTATAGAGTTTCAACTGTTGTCTTCCAAGTGTCCAGGACTCCATCTTCCACATGCTTCAATCTATAGTGGTTCTCAACCTATGGGTCCCCAGATGTTTTGGCCTTCAACTCCCAGAAATCCTAACAGCTGGTAAACTGGCTGGGATTTCTGGGAGTTGTAGGCCAAAACATCTGGGGACCCACAGGTTGAGAACCACTGATCTATAGGAAGGAATTTTGGAAGTCAAAGTCCAAAACATTTGAGAGACTCGTCAATGGGAAGAAGAAATCTCACTGACATTCATTTGTCAAACTGAAATTTTCTCCTCTATGCAACTACAAAAAGTTCAGGGACCACTTGCTTTTGGCCACCCTGAAACCACAATTTATGTGACCATCTCAAAATGTGTGAAGGGTTTCCTTTAAAGAATGTTAACAACTTGCCAAGGCAAAACAGCAATCCCATGCCTTCCAGCTGTAGCTTGGCATTCATCATGCATGCAAAACAATTAGGAACACTGTACTACATCCAACTGAAAAATGTGCAAATGAGACACTTCTCACAAGTTGTGTGAGCACTTCCAATAATATTGTTTGCACCGAGCAAACTGCCTGCATCTGCCTTACAATATGTGTGCTGCCAAGCAACTTACAACATAAAAGCACCTGTAAGTAAAACAAGTCTGAGCAGTACAATCCTAAAATACAAGTTCTAGAAGACGTAATGACATAAGCTCATCATGTTGACTATTAGTTTCACCATTCAGCCAGATTCAACACCCTGGCACAAACACAATGGGACTCGCTTACAAAACTACCTTGCTCTAATTGGCATATATGTAAAAATACTTTTGTCACTAATATAATACAAGAATGAGCAGAAAGAACAGTTACTACTAGTAGATCTCTGCATGGTGTACAATATAGATTGCCAAGGTTTCCAATTCCCAACCATTTTACAAGAGGAATCACAAAATGTTCCTCTTGCCTCATCTCCAAATTATATGGTTGAAATAAAGATGCTGTGGAGAAAAAAGAAGTGGATTTGGGTAAATGAAGTCTGAGATGACTTTTGGGAAACCCAAACACTACTAATAAAAATAGTATTTAAAATATTTGACTTGTATTAAAGCTTTTGGACTATGTTCTTTATTATTTAGATTTGGTTATTTTGTGAAAGCAGTCATCACCTTAAAAAGAAATCAGAGTGGAATATAATATCTCTCCCCAACAATTTTAGCCTAATTTTAGAGATTTTAAATGATATTTTGAGGGTTTAATATGTTAATAATTATGTGGATTATTTTATGTTTTGTTTATTTATGTCAGTTTATAATTTACCAAGTTGTTCTTGATTTGTTTATTGTTTTGTTTAGTAGTTTTCAAGGTGTGTCTTCTTACTACCTGGGGGAATCTTTTGTTGAGAGGTGATTAGCTGACCCTGATTGTTCCTTGCCTGGTGTTCCCGTTTTTAAAAGTTGTTCTTTCTTTACTGTTATGATTTTAGAGGGTTTTTTAAAATATTGGTAGCCAGATTTTGTTCATTTTCATGGTTTCTACCGTTCTGTTGAAATTGTCCACATGCTTGTGGATTTCAATGGATTCTCTGTGTAGTCTGACATGATACACAGAAAAGCCATTGAAATCCACAAGCACATAGACAATTTCAACAGAAAGGAGAAACCATGAAAATGAACAAAATCTGGTTACCAGTATTTTAAAATCTAAAATCAGGACAGTAAATAAAGAGCAACACTCAAAAAGAGGGGAATTCCAGACAAGAAACAATCGGGGCCAGCTAATCACCTCCCAACAACGGATTCCCCTGGGCAGTAAGAAGTCCCACCTTGAAACTGCTAGGCCATTAAATGCTAATCAAGGTGGCCAACTGAAACATTCACACCCAGCTTCAACAGACAAGAGTTCTTTTTCCCACCCTGGACATTCCACAGATATATAAACCCCACTTGCCTAGTTTCCAACAGACCTCACAACCTCTGAGGATGCCTACCATAGATGCAGGCAAAATGTCAGGAGAGAATGCTTCTGGAACATGGTCAGACAGCCCAGAAAACTTACAGCAAACCAGTGATTCTGGCCATTAAAGTCTTCGACAATACAAGAAAAGGTCTATTTACAAACATCTGAGACTGAAACCACCATTTTGAATTTCCAAACCAATCTCTTCCATAATTTCTTGTGACTAATGAGATTGCAGCATGACAATTATTTTGTAGTATTCTCTATTCCTGAGTTCAGAGCATCAAAGTGTATTCAGTGGCTGAATTGTATACCAGGAATACAAATTTCCCACACAGAGGGGGAGAAACATCCTGCTGAATAAGGAAACAGGATAACAGATGGCATTTCAGCCGTCCAAGAAAGAGAGGGCCACGCCAGAAGGCTGCCAAAACTTACGCAATCATAACAATCTTGCTTTTATTCAACAGCCAAAGGCATTAGCTTCTATCACTGAGCCAGTAAACAAGTGGCTGGGATGGGGCAGCAACACTTGGAACAGCAAGAATGTGGAAAAGTGTGTCCGTCTCCCCAGTGATGAACATCCCTCCCAATGCTGGCCTGCCAGGACTAAATCCAATTCTTAGACCCAATCAGAGCCAACTCGTTGGATCCAATGAAACTAGACAAGTCAACATTTCTATAAGCTTCATTGATACAATGGGTCTAATTTAGACGGAACTAAAAACAGCATCTGGGCTCATGCCTAGAATTAATTTTTGTTAGATGTCTGGCAGGAGAAAGGTGGGAGAGAAACCGAATAATTAATTAATAAGACCAGATATCCATTTTTTCAATAAATCTTTTTTTCACATTATTCCTGGGACTAGGTTAACCTTTTTAAAAAATATATTTTAATTCATTATTATTATATTATTATAACGTTCAGCAAAGGACAAGAGGGATCCTCTCACCTCTGCAGGAGTCTACCGTGTACCATGCAGCTGTGGACAAGTCTACATAGGGACCACCAAACACAGCATTGCCCAAACACGAATCAAGGAACATGAAAGGCACTGCAGACTACTTCAGGCAGAGAAGTCAGCCATAGCAGAGCACCTGATGAACCAACCTGGACACAGCATTTTATTTGAGAACACAGAAATGCTGGACCACTCTAACAACCACCATGTCAGACTACACAGAGAAGCCATTGAAATCCACAAGCATGTGGACAATTTCAACAGAGAGGAGGAAACCATGAAAATGAACAAAATCTGGCTACCAGTATTTAAAAAAAAACCTCTAAAATTACAACAGCAAAACAGCAGAGAGGAAACAACCAGGCACATCTTAACACCTCTCAAGAAAAGATTCCCCCAGGCTCAGCCAGGCCTTCAAATGCTAATGAAGGTGGTCAGTTGAAACATTCACACCTAGCTCCAGCAGAGAAGAGCTCTTTGCCCCACCCCAGCCATTCCACAGATATATTAAACCCATTGTCCTAATTCCAACAGACCTCACTACCTCTGAGGATGCTTGCCATAGATGCAGGCGAAACGTCAGGAGAAATGCCTCTAGAACATGGCTCTATAGCCCGAAAAAACCCACAAGAACCTAGTGATTCCAGCCATGAAAGCCTTCGACAATACATTTATTATTATTATTTGTTTTTTATATATATATATATATATATATATATATATATATATATATATATAAATAAATAAAAAGGGACTAGGTTAACCTTAAAGTTAACTGTTAGTCTAAACCTGAAGTTCATTTATGTTTCATTGGCTCATCTATACTGCCATATAATGCAGTTCGAAACCATATTATATGGCAGTGCAGATGGGGCCAAAGACACCTTATACAAAGAGCCAGAAGGCCATATTATGCACAATATCTTAATAATTTTGTGCACGAAACAAGGTTTGTGTATAGTGACATATCAGAAATCACATCTGTCATTCTCCCAGCTACTCATGTGGACAATTTCAAACTTTGGAATACTTGGATTTAGGAATGCTGGATTTTATTTTATTTTATTAGTGTTAGGAGTAACTTGAAAAACTGCAAGTCGCTTCTGGTGTGTGAGTATTGGCCGTCTGCAAGGATGTTGCCCAGGGGACGCCTGGATGTTCTGATGTTTTACCACCTTTGTGGGAGGCTTCTCTCATGTCCACGCATGGGGAGCTGGAGCTGACAGAGGGAGCTCATCCGCGCACTCCTTGGATTCGAACCTGCAACTTCATTACTGCCAGAACAAGTGTTTAATCTACTGCACCACCGGGGGCTCTGGAACTGTGGATACAGGATACTCAACCTGCTTCATAACAGCCTTGTAACAACAACAACAAAAACCATTCATTACCTGATTCACACACAACAGATCCTGGCTTCAGCTCCAGCATCATGGTGATGAGAGAGATGTCCGTCGAATACAGGATCTGCGTCCGATGGGGGAGATTGAGAGTCCACAGCTCAGGGGTTGGGTGAAGAATATAGACCCATCCTCCTTTGCTGCAGGTCACCTTGGAGCCATACGGTTTGCCTATGAGGTCCGTGGAGTGCCTTATCACACCATACTTGGTCTGCGTTTTGCCACCGTTCTGAACCTTCACCGGAAACATGGACTCATGGCCCAAGAAGACAACGGCTGTGTCCCCTTCCTTGATTGTGTCTCCATATTCAATAAAGCTCATTGCAATAATCTTGCAGTTGATAAATTAGTTGTGGCTAAGGACAAAGGAGACATGCTTTAGAAAAAAACATTCATCTTTCTAGGACGTTCTTTCTGCTGAAAACATTTACTCGCATTACTTCTGCTCATCTTTAATCTCACAGCTAATCATGCATCCCTGTGGTTCTCAACCTTTGGTCCACCAAGTGTTTTGGACTTCAAGTACCAGAAATTCCAGCCAGCTTACCAACCGTTAGGAATTGTGGGAGCTGGAGTCCAAAATACTTGGAGGGCCAGAGTTTGGGAACCACTGCATCTTATTGGACTACAACATTCATTGGTCTTATCTTAGTCAATAAGGACATCTCATGGGGCCTGCAGTCCAACAACATCTAGAGCAGTGGTTCTCAACTTTCCTAATGTGCGACCCCTTAATACAGTTCCTCATGTTGCAGTGACCCCCAACCATAACATTATTTTCATTGCTACTTCATAACTGTAAGTTTATTACTGTTATGAATCGTAATGCAAATATCCAATATTTTCATTCGCTGGACCAAATTTGGCACAAATACCCAATATGGCCAAATTTGAATACTGGTGTGTTTGGTTTTGTCATTTGGGAGCTGTCATTAACAGTTAACCTACGATCAAAGAGCATTCTGAACTCCACCAAAAATGGAATTGAACCAAACATTGCCATGTTTGGTTCAATTCCCATGACCAACAGAAAACTCCCATGACCAACAGAAAATACTGGAAGGGTTTGGTGGGCATTGACCTTGAGTTTTGGAGTTGTAGTTTTCCTACATCCAGAGAGCACTGTGGACTCAAACAAGATGGATCTGGACCAAACATGGCACAAATACTCAATATGCCCAAATGTGAACACCGGTGGAGTTTGTGAAAAATAGACTTGACATTTAGAAGTTGTAGTTGTTGGGATTTATAGTTCACCCACAATCAAAGAACGTTCTGAACTTCACCAAAGATAGAATTGGGCCAAACTTCCCACACAGAACTGTCATGACTAACTGAAAATGCTGTGTTTTTTCATGGTCCTTGGTGACCCCTCTGACACCCCCTCGCGACCCACCCAAGGGTTCCAACTCCCAGATTGAGAAACACTGATCTAGAGGGATACATCTTCTTCATTCATGTCTTGGGGATAAACTTAGGGAATGTGGTTGGGTTCCTTCAAGTAGTTCCAGCTTATAACAACCCTAAGGCAAACCTATCATGGAGTTTTCTTGACACAATTTGATCAAGAAGAGATTTGCTGCTGTCTTCCTCTGAGGCTGAGAGAGTGTGGCTTTCCCAAAAGTACTCCAGTGGGTTTCCAGAGTTTGAATCTCAGCCTCCAGAGTTGTAGCCCAATGTTCAAGCCAACGCTATGGAATTTAGGAACTATGGAATCTACAAGGTCTTTAGCCTTCTTTGCCCAGGAATGCTGGTGCCTCACCAAACTACAGCTCCCAGGATTCCATAGCAAAACGCCGTGACAATTTAAGTGGTATCAAACCGGATTAATTCTGCAGTGTAGATACATCTCTAGAAATGCCTGGAGAGGACACATTTTGTCACACATGGATATATGATAGCATAGTTACTAGTTTTGGGGTTATAGTGGTCACAGCATATGCTATTTTTAATTCCATGATGGAAGAAAGACAAAATAATGAAGCGCCTAAATAACAGCTGCTTTTGCTCAGGTTCACCTTTACTGCAAACTGCCAAAAATAATGAAAGTCTTCTTCTCTGTGACCCAGTTCTGGTTCTCAGCACTCACCACTTAAATTTGGTATTAGAAGGAGCAAGATATGGGCTTACATATCAAAAGAGGCTTTTGACTTCAAACATTATCAGAAACAACTTACAGGGAGTCTATTTTCTATGTATTTTTAGAGTCACACTATAAAGCAGTCAAAGCAATAGTTACTAATGAAAAGTCGATGAGAGCTCAGTTCTCCACCTGCATTTTGTCATTGGTAAGACACAGCAGGACAGCAGTTGCACTACAAATATATCATCTGGGGAAGGTCAAAGCTATTTCCAGATGCAGATCTAATAAAACCTAACAGGCAGTTCCCAAGTTACAAACATCTGTCTTACACACAACTCATTGTTAAGAATGGGGATGAGACAACAGGAAGTGGGAGAAATCTATCCCTCGGAAGGGAATTCCACTCCTGGAAGGGTTATCATGGGAAAAAGGTGTCTCTACTGAAACTTTAGCACCAACTCTTGTTTTCACAACAAGCCAAAATTTTCAAAATCCAATTATCACAGAGACAGGAAATGAGGTGAAATCTTCCGAACAGGGGCACAGACAGCAGAACAAACACTATAGGGGTGCTAACCTTTCCTTATGCTATCAAAAACTGTGTTTGTGTGTGTGTTTGTGTGTGTGTGTGTGTGTGTGTGTGTGTGTGTGTGTATGCATGCACATATATAGTTTATTTATTTATTCATTTAAACATTTATATTCCGCCCTTCTCACCTTGAAGGGGACTCAGGGCGGCGCACAGCATATATAAAGCAAACATTCAATACCGGGTCATAAATTCATTATATGCATAGATAAACATTAAAAACATTTGTCTCAATATTAAAATACACTGTTTAAAACCGTCTTGATCATCTGTGTCCAATTTAATTGGCCTGGTAGTTTCCTGTCGCTGCTTTATTGCACTGTCCCGAAAGCTTGGTCCCACAGCCAAGTTTTTACCATCTTCTGAAGGACAGGAGGGAGGGGGCCGATCTGATCTCACCAGGAAGTGAGTTCCAAGGGGGCAATCACCGAGAAGGCCCTCTCTCACGCCTGTGACAATGGTGGGACGGAGAGCAGGGCCTCCCTAGGAGGATCTTAATCTCCGCAATGGTTCATAGGGGGAGATGCATTCGGACAGGTAAATTGGGCTGGGGTGGTTTAGGGCTGAATAGGCCAAAGCCAGCACTTTGAATTGTGCCTGGTAGCAAACTGGTGGGACGGAGAGCAGGGCCTCCCTAGGAGGATCTTAATCTCCGCAATGGTTCATAGGGGGAGATGCATTCGGACAGGTAAATTGGGCTGGGGTGGTTTAGGGCTGAATAGGCCAAAGCCAGCACTTTGAATTGTGCCTGGTAGCAAACTGGCAGCCAGTGGAGCTAGTGTAACATGAGAGTTATATGCTCCTTGTATGCCGCCCCAGTTATTTACCTGCCTCTCGTTGAACTATTTGAAGCTTCAAAGGCAACCCCATGTAGAGTGCATTACAGTAGTCTATCCTGGATGCAACGAGAGCATGGACCACCGTGGCTGGAGTTGCACTTTAAAATGTACCTAACTTACAAACAGATTCAACTTAAGAACAAAACTACTGAACCTATCTTGTTCATAACTTGGAGACTGCCTGTAGTTTGGAGGAATTGAGAAACCTCAGAACATAAGAAGAGATGTGATGGGTTTATGGCCCTATAAAATTGAATCGTTATGGCCCAATATATATGAATCGTTATGTAAATATATTATATGCATTCATTCACTGCACCAAATTTGGCACAAATACCAAATATGCCCAAATCTGAATACTGGTGGAGTTGGGAGTTGTAGTTGATGGGATTTATAGTCCACCTAAAATCAAAGAGCATTCTGAACTCCACCAACAATGGAACTGGACCAAACTTGGCACACAGAACTCCCATGACAAACGGAAAATACTGGAAGGGTTTGGTGGGCATTGATCTTGTGTTTTGGAGTTGTAGTTCCCCTACATCCAGAGGGCATTGTGGACCCAGACAATAATGGATCTGGATCAAACTTGGCACGGATACTCAATATGCCCAAATTTGAACACTGGTGGAGTTTGGGGAAAATAAACTTTGACATTTGAGAGTTGCTAGGATTTATAGTTTACCTACAATCAAAGAGCATTCTGAACCCCCACCGATAGAATTCGGTCAAAGTTCCCACACAGAACCCTCATGATCAACAGAAAATACTGTGTTTTCTGATGGTCTTTGGCAACCCCTCTGACATCCCCTTCGACCCCCCCCCCCCCGGGTCCCGACCTTCAGGTTGAGAAATGCTGCTATAGAATTAATGCAGTTTGACTCCACTTTTAAATGGCATGGCTCAATGCTATGGATTTCTGAGAGTTGTAGTCTGGAGAGCACTCTTTGGCCAGGGAAGGCTGCAATGGTTACACTTATTCCATGATTGCAGTTTAGTCATAGCTCCTAATATTTGAGAAAAGCTTTTTCCGAACACCAGAATAAGAAAGCAGTCCATAAACACATAAGATAACACTCAGGATTCAGATCTTATTTTAATAATCATTGGATTATGCTTGCAATTAATCTAAACTTTGATTGCATGCAGAGGACTACTCATCTTATTAAAAAAAATATTCTGAGTTCCTGACACAAGCTTTATTAGAATGTAATTCAGAGCCAAGTGGAGTTAATTCTGAACAGTTAATTTAGTGCTGTGAATCCGCACTCTGATTAACTTCCATTTGCTATTTAAATATGAATGGCAATCAATCATATAAAGAGAGAAATAAAATGTAGAAAATCAAGAACACTCCCACACAGCAAAAATGCCTTTTAATTAGATACTGGAGCAGAATGTGATAATGCTGCCAACTTTTTTGATGCTTTGGCTCCTGTGCCACTTTGAGTAACTTACCGTATATACTCGAGTATAAGCTGACCCGAATATAAGCCGAGGCACCTAATTTTACCACAAAAAAATGGGAAAATGTATTGACTTGAGTATAAGCCGAGGGTGGGAAATGCAGCAGCTACTAGTAAATTTCAAAATAAAAATAGATACCAAAAAAAAAAATTAATTTAGGCATTAGTAGGTTAAATATTATTGAATATTTACATAAAACTCTAATTCAAGATAAGACTGTCCAACTCTGATTAAACCATTATTCTAACCTTCTTCAATGTAAATATGCTTACATGTCCTCCAATAATAATAAATAGAGTAAAATAATAATAATAGAGTAAAATAATAAATGAAACAATAACAATAATAGAGTAAAATAATAAATGTAATAATAAAGTAATAAATGTAATAATAATAATAAAGTAAAATAATAAATGTAACAATAACAATAATAAAGTGAGTAAAATAATAAATGTAATAACAACAATAATAAAATAATAAATGTAACAACAACAACAATGTAAAATAATAAATAATATTATATTATAATATAAGCTGGGGGAGACTTTTTCAGCCTGAAAAAAGGACTGAAAAACTAGACTTATACTCAAGTATATACAGAAATAACAAAAATAAAGTAAGATAATTTTTTCTGGCACAGAAACAAGTGCATATATTTGAGGATTTTACCTACGATGTTTTGGGACACCAAACCGATGGTAAAGTAGGGGTGTAGAAAGTTACACAAACATACAAACACAAACACAATTTTTTTTACCTCCCATCATCCTCAATATTAACTGTGTAAATTCCCGTCTCCTTAAAGAAACATACAACATTTCTAGAGTGCAATTATACAAATCCTATTTCGTGAAACTGGAGCTTGGAAAAGTTATTTTGTTGGATTTCATCTCCCAACATTCTCCAACAAACATGACTGATGACCATGTTGGCAGAACTGTAGTCCAAAAAAGCAACAAATCCATGATTTCTATGGAGCCATGAAGCTTAACACATCAGTCTCTTCTAAAACCATTATAGCAAATGGATTGATTGCTAGATGATTTCCTAAAGTCAATATTCAAAGAGAAGCAGCAGGGATGCCCAAAAGATACTCACATTTGCCTGGCATTTCCATCATAAAATATAATGGCCTAATGTGCATTTTCATAAAGTGCATTTACACGTAATGAAGTCTGACACCACTTTAACTTCCATGGCTTAATGCTCAATTGAATCCTGGGAGTTGTAGCTTGGTGAGATACCAGCATTCTTTGGCAGAGAAGATGAGAGACCTTGTAAAGTTACAGCTCCATGACTCCATAGCTGTTAAAGTGGTATCGAACTGTAGTAATCCTACAGTGAAGATACATCTATAAACTAGGGACTATTTTGTGAAGGCGGTGATGGCGTGACTGACAACAACGCCAGGTAAAATGTATATTGGGGTGTGTTCTGGACTGCAACTCCCATCATCCAAAATGATGGGAGTTGCACTGTCTGTGATGATGGATTATGGGATGCACAGTTCAGGAAACATCTGCAGGGCCCCATGTTCTTTCCACCCTTGACTCTGTAATAAAGTAAAGATGTGAATAGGAACCAGTGTCATATAGTGGTTTGAGCTATGGACTACGATTCTGGAGAACAAGAGTTCGAGTCCCTGCTCAACCACTGAATGAGTCACATACTCTCAGCCTTGGGAAAAACACACTATAGGATCACCATAAGTTGGAAACTATTTGAAGGCAAGAGGAAACAAGGGCCCAAATGCCCAGGACTTCTATTAATATGGAATGTAATGTTTTTAAATATCTAATATGTATTAATTTTAACTTAATTTTAAATTTTAATATTTTGGAACTGTATGTGTTTTAAGGCATTGAATAATTACCTCTGTTGTAAGCCGCCTTGAGTCCCCTTCAGGGTAGCTAAAGGTGGGACATACATAGGGTAAATAAATAAATACACCTTCTATATAAATAAAAATATAATGTTTGTTTGTGGGATTAACAAAACTCAAAAACCACTGGGCAAATTGACACCAAATTTGGACACAAGACACCTATCAGGCCAACAAGTGACCATCACTCCTAAAAACACTGAAAAACACAACAGAAAAGACTTAAAAAGCCAATATATATATATAAAAATATTACAACGAATGCGCAAAACCACATATATACGCAAACACTCATATACACAAATATATGCATTTATACACACAAAGTATATATGCACAGACTGGGCATCAACGCATAGCAGGGGACGGCCAGTTAATAAATGAAGAGGGAAATTCATCTAGACGAGCTATAGCTCTTGCATTCTTTCTGTTATGTATCTATTAAAGGGACAGAAGCTTCATATTCTTTGGCCTGTGTGTGTGTGCGTGTGTATAATGTTCAACTTTCTCTTTACACAATGCTGGGATGAATTAGTTTGACACCACTTGAACTGCCACAGTCCAATGCTGTGGAATCCCAGCAGTTGTAGTTTTACAAGGCTCTTGCCATCAAGAAGATTGCACTTAGGTTTAATCTGAATTTCTCTTCCTGTGGATTGAAACCATGAAATGCAGTTTGACACCACTTCAACTGCCATGGCTCAATGCTATGGAATCATGGGATTTGTAGTTTGGTGAGGCACCAGTGTAGGGAAGGCTAAAACACCTTGCAAAACTACAACTCCCAGGAACACAAAGCATTAAGCAATGGCAGGAAAAAGCTGTGTCAGGCTGCATTACTTCTACATTGTAGATGCACCTACAGATGCCAAAATCAATTTCCTGTTGAGTCCAAAAAAGCCCTCTTACATAGGTTTTCTGAACATAATCTTGGGGGTGCATCTACACTGCAGAATTAATGCAGTTGATACCACTTTAGATGCCAGGGCTAATGCTATGGGATCATGGGAGCTATAGTTTGGCGAGAAACCTTTTGGAGAGAAGGCTACAGCTCTCAGGTTTCCATAGGCTTGAACTATGGCAATTAAAGTAGTGATCAACTGCAGTGTAGATGCAGCCCTAGGTCAGTGTTTCTCAGCCTGGGGGTTGGGACCCCTGTGGGGGGGGGGGGGKGTKCGAAGTCAGAGGGGTTGCCAAGGACCCTCAGAAAAATGCAGTATTTTCTGTTGTTGGTCATGGGAGCTTTGTGTACCAAGACTGGTTCAATTCCATCATTGGTGGGAGTTCAGAATGCTCTTTGATTGTAGGTGAACTATAAATCCCAGCAACTACAACTCCCAAATGTCAAGGTCTATTTTCCCTAAACTCCACCAGTGTTCACATTTGGGCATATTGAGTATCCTTACCAAATTTGGTCCAGATGCACCATTGTTTAAATCCATAGTGCTCTCTGGATGTAGGTGAACTACAACTCCAAAACTCAAGATCAGTGCCCACCAAATCCTTCCAGTATTTTCTGTTAGCCATGGGAGTTCAGTGTACCAAGTGTGGTTCAATTCAACTGTTGGTGCAGTTCAGAATGCTCTTTGATTGTAGGTTAACTATAAATCCCAACAACTACAACTCCCAAATGACACAATCAATCCCCACAACTCCACCAGTATTAAAATTTGGGCATATCTGGTATTTGTGCCAAATTTGGTCCAGTGACTGAAAATACATTCTGCATATCAGATATTTACATGACGATTCATAACAGTAGCAAAATGAGAGTTATGAAGTAGCAAGGGAAATAATGTTATGGCTGGGGAACTGCATGAGGAAGGTTGGCAACCACTGCCCTAGGCAATGTGTCCTGCTGCAAGGGAAAACCTATTCTGTCCAATGGGCTTCCTCCCCGCAAAGTGGATTTTCCACCCCTCTCCCACTGCTTACCTTTCCAGGGAGGGAGGTGCATAGGAAGAGGACCCAGCACGTGGCTTCCCCGCTTCCCCTGCCTTTCGCTTTCTCCCGTCGCAGCCTGATGACGCGCCTCTGCCTTTCCCCGCCCTCCTTGCAAAGCAAACACATCTCAGTCTGTCTGCACGTGCCTCCTTCCCAACCGTGATGCTTCTCCTCTCTCTCTCTCTCTCTCTCTTTTGGCTGCGCTGTTATTGGAGGCATCTGCTCTGCACCTTCCTGGCCAAAGAGTGCTCTCTCCAGGCTACAACTCTCAGGGTTCTAGAGCACTAAGCCATGGCAGTTCATTTGGGATTCTAGAGCACTATGTCATGGCACTTCAGTGTTCTAGAGTACTAAGCCATGGCAATTCATTCAGGGTTCTAGAGCGCTGCGTCATGTCAGTTCATCCAGGGTTCTAGAACACCACACCATGGCAGTTCTGGGTTCTAGAGCCCAAAGTCATTGCAGTTCATTCTGGGTTCTAGATCCCCAAGCCACGCCAGTTCAGTCAGGGTTCTAGAGCCCCCAAGCCACACCAGTTCAGTCAGGGTTCTAGAGAGCTAAGTCATGGCAGTTCATCCAGGGTTCTATAGCGCAAGTCATGCAGTTCATTCAGGGTCCTAGAGCCCTAAGCCACGGCAGTTCTTTCGAGGTTCTAGAGCACTTGGCCATGGCAGTTCGTTCAGGGTTCTAGAGCCCTAAGCCACGATCGTTCAGTGGTTCTATAGCACTCAGCCATGGCAGTTCATTCAGGGTTCTATAGCACTCAGCCATGACTGAGGGTTCTAGGGCACTCAGCCATGGCAGTTCATTCAGCGTTCTATAGCACTCAGCCATGGCAGTTCATTCAGGGTTCCAGAGCACTCAGCCATGGCAGTTCATTCAGGGTTCCAGAGCACTCAGCCATGGCAGTTCATTCAGGGTTCTATAGCACTCAGCCATGGCTGAGGGTTCTAGGGCACTCAGCGATGGAAGTTCATTCAGGGTTCTATAGCGCTCAGCCATGGCAGTTCATTCAGGGTTCTAGAGCACTCAGCCATTGCAGTTCATGTTGTTCATTCGTTCAGTCGTTTCCGACTTTTCGTGACCGACTCTTCATGACCTCATGGACCAGCCCACACCAGAGCTCCCTGTCGGCCGTCACCACCCCCAGCTCCTTCAAGATCAATCCAGTCACTTCAAGGATACCATCCATCCATCTTGCCCTTCCTTTTTCCTTCCATTTTCCCCAGCATCATTGTCTTCTCTAAGCTTTCCTTTCTTCTCATGATGTGGCCAAAGTACTTCATCTTGGCCTCTACTGTCCTTCCCTCCAATGAGCAGTCGGGCTTTATTTCCTGGAGTATGGACTGGTTGGATCTTCTTGTGGTTCAAGGCACTCTCAGAATTTTCCTCCAACACCACAGTTCAAAAGCATCTATCTTCCTTCGCTCAGTCTTCCTTATGGTCCAGCTTTAACATCCGTAGGTGACTATGGGGAATTTATTTATCGTGTCTCCAGCTCATTCCCTGTTTGGGTATCAGCCAGCACGTCAATGACTTAAATCAAGAAATAGTTTTCTAAGATCTACAGAGACACTCGCTGGAACACCTCAGCAAGCGAGAGTCCAAAAGTGGCAGGCTCAAACCCAGAACCTCAACCAATGGCTGATACCAAATGAGAGACTCCTCCCTGGGCACACAGAAAACTGGGCGACTTGGAAGGCGCTGAACAGACTGCGCTCTGGCACCACGAGATTCAGAGCCAACCTTAAGAAATGGGGCTACAAAGTGGAATCCACGACATGCGAGTGTGGAGAAGAGCAAACTACAGACCACCTGCTGCAATGCAACCTGAGCCCTGCCACATGCACAATGGAGGACCTTCTTGCGGCAACACCAGAGGCACTCCAAGTGGCCAGATACTGGTCAAAGGACATTTAATCAACTACCAAGCTTGCAAACTTCGTGTTTTGTCTGTTTGTTTGTTTTGTTCTGTTAGAAATGTAATACAATTGTCTGGTTGTCTCTGACATGATAAATAAATATTGTCTTCTCTAAGCTTTCCTTTCTTCTCATGATGTGGCTAAAGTATTTCATCTTGGCCTCTAATATCCTTTGCTCCAATGACCAGTCGGGCTTTATTTCCGGGTTTGTAGTTTTGGGAGGAGGCTTTAACAGCCTCATTAAACTACAAACCTCAGAATTCTGTAGGAGGCAGAAACCAGATTTAAAGTGGATTCATTCTTTAGTGTGATGAGGTCCTTGGTCTGTATTTACATTTTCTTTAATAGTTTTTGAGTGTCTGCGCACTTTCCTGTGGGTGATTCCTCCATTGTAAATCTTACTAATTTCAGTAATTTAGTAAATTGTACTAAATGCTCCTAGGTAAAAGCTGTACAAACAGTAACAGTTGTGCAGCCATTAATTTATTCCAACCCCCTAATTGATGGGAGTTTCTTAATTTTAGTCAAAATGTTTCTTAGCCAAAATTGATGTCTAAGGAACAAGCCCAGCCTGTTCTCAGAATGAGAACAGTAAAGATGGATGCTTCATATCACAGCAAGAATATGTTTGATTTTATGGGGATTGTGTTCAGTATTTTAGGTTGCTCTTTTCTTGTGTTGCATGGGGATTTTAAAACTTAATTTTTATTAATTCTTCAAAAAAATGCAACTTAAATCCAATTAAAAATAAACAAAACACAAAAATAGAATATAGCGAAACAAAATGCCCAACAAAAATAATTACCTAATTCTACCTCCCCATAATAACAACACTTTAGTTATATTCTGCCCTATCTCCCTGAGTGGACTCAGAGCAGATTACAGTATATATACAAACACAAACGCAGACAATCATTCAATGCCCTGATACAACGAGACAGAAATTCAGAGACAAATTCTCTGGCTTCTCGAGGCTCCGGGGGAGATGTTCATCTCCATTTCCAAGCCAAGGAGCCTGCATTGTCCGTAGACACCTCCTGGTCATGTAGCCAACATAATTGCTTGGAGTGCCTGTTTGCCTTCCTGCCAAGGCACTACCTATTGATCTCACATTTGTATGTTTTGAACTGCTAGGTTGGCAGGAGCTGGGGCTAACAGCAGGAGCTCACCCTGACCTGCGGATTCGAACTGCCAACCTTCAGGTCAACAAGTTCAGCAGCTCAATGGTTTAACCTACTGTGCCACCGTGGCCCCATAGTTTTCCCCCACCCCATATCTTTACTTTAAAGATTTAAAAATATATTAAAAATTCAAAAGAAACACAACTAATTTCTCTCCCCCCCCCTTTTCCAAGCCAAAGCAGCTTAATAATAATAATAATAATAATAATAATAATAATAATCACATTAACCTCTGTTAAATATAAACAAATATATTTAAGAATAATACATACCCATGATTAATAATAATAATAATACTCGTGGGAATGTATTAGAGTCTAATAATAATAATAATAATAATAATAATAATAATAATAATAATTCTTTATATCCCACTTTTCTCTCTAAAAACAAAAACTCATACAATTTAAACATATTTACTAAAATTAAATTCTTGTAATTGTAGCTTTTATACATAATCATATTCCTGCCACTGAGCCCCTTTTAATCTAAAGATCTTACTCTATTTCATCATTTTATATATATAGTAGTCTCGCTTATCCAACATAAACGGGCTGGCAGAATGTTGGATAAGCAAAAATGTTGGATAATAAGGAAAAGCCTACGAAACATCAAATTAGGCTATGATTTTACAAATTGAGCACCAAAACATCGTGTTTTACAACAAATTGACAGAAAAAGCAGTTCAATACACGGTAACATTATGTAGTAATTACTGTATTTACGAATTTAGCACCAAAACATTGCAATGTATTGAAACAGCTGTGGATCTTGGGGAAGCAGACTGCATTGGATAATACAGAATGTTGGATGAGCGAAGGTTGGATAAGCAAGATTCTACTGTAATGTCATATTGTATTTTCCCCTTCATTCTCAATGTTCCTATTTCACCCTACATGACCTTTCAGGAAACTAGTTATCACTGCACTGTAATAATGAACAATATATGATGATGATTATAATTTATACCCTGCTTTTTCTCTCCACAAAGGAGACTATATTTCCACAAAGTGACTATATTTTGAAAGACAGCTGACAGTTGCTCTCAATAATTCAGTTTGGGGAAATCAATACTCTATTAAGCAAACATTTTGATGTGGAAGAAGCTATAGAAGTAATTCTATTTCCCCCTCCATATATATAAATTCTGTGCCTTTTAGTTGGAAGATTTCACTTGAATTTTCTCTCTCTCCTGTTGCTTCATCCCTTGGAACAGAAGATCACAATCCCATTTTAATGATGCAATAAATGAGGCTGGGAACAAGTGAAAATTAAACTGCTTTTTAAAAAAAATTCACACAAGGCAGATAATCATATCAGATGCTTTTCTCATACTAGGGGTTAATGTGGTTAAACTGAGCATCCCAGCCAATTAAACCAGTGTGTTCCATTTCCAAATGCTGAATTAATTTTTTTCATGCCGACTTTCACAACTCTGCCAGAACATAGTTTACAAACCACTTGTCAACTGGGAACCACATCTAATATGGGAAACAGCAAAAGCTTTTGAGGAAGGGATTTCTGCACTCTTTTCAACATAGTGGAGAAATAATTTGATCACAGCATCTTTTTCCTAGGAGTGCATTTACACTATAATGAATACAGTTTGACACCACTTTAACTACTATGGCTCCATGTTATGGAATCATAGGAGTTATCGATTTACGAAGTCTTTTGTCTCCTCTGAATGTAATTTCCATGACTCCATAGCACTGAGCCATGGCAGTTAAAGTGTTGTCAAAGTGCATTAATTCTACAATGAAGATGCACCTGTTGGGAAAAGATGGGCAAGACACACGCAGCCTCAGGGGACAACCAGGACAAGCCTTCTTTGTACAGATTGTGCCATGAAAACCCAGTAATAGGGTCTCCATAATTCCGAAATGATCTGAAGGCACGTAACGACAACATATGTTCATCACTCAGCCACAGTGCAATAGCCTCCAGCTTAGATGACTTTAAAGGAGTTTACTAAATTAATTGAG